TGGGGCATGAGGGCCTTCCTTCATTCTCTTCCCTGGCATTTGATGATAGTGGGATGTGCAACTATATATCTTTTACAACTTCAAGCAAGATTAATGGCAGAAACATTAATATGAAGAAAATTATTGAGGATTATCAAGGAATAGAAGATATACAAGATGATGAGTTGAAATCCTTCTTTGTAAATGGTGTGGCAGATGAAGACAGCTTTGCAGCAGAATGCAGCTGCAGAAGACATTCATTTAACAATTACTCACCTAATTTCTATAGCCCCAAATATGTACCTCAATATACTTTTGTGGACAATGATGAGCAAGGTATACCTTGCATTACCAGCAACTGGGATCCCTCTATTTTCTCAGCAGAATTCAAAGAAGAAGTTAAGAGGAAAAAAAAGAAGCACAAAGAAGTGCAGAAAAAGAAGTCAACCAAAAGGAATCTCTAAACTGACTTTAGACACATTATGTTCATATAACATTTGAACATGACTCTTTGTGTGTTTTGGTTAATTACAGAGTTTTATAGATAACATTTGTTTAATACTATCCAAGGTTATGTTTWTGACCTTTTAAGTAGGTTTACGAGCACTGGTCTATAGCTTGGATTAGGTATGTCAGAAAAAGATGATCTTATGGTAACATGGGGATGTTAAAACTTTGGAAAACTGAAAATATTTATTTTTTATTTTTGAGCTATTTGCGTATAGAATTTGTCCCCACTAGAGTTTATGACCTACTTCATTCCTTTTATCTGACTAAAACCACTATACAAACTTTTGAAATATGTATAGCATTAGTGGACAAAAATGTATTAAGATACACAGGTTCAGACTATATACTTTTATCATGAAATGACTTTTTCCCAGTGGAGGCACAGCATTTTATACATGACTTAAAGATACTACAAATTAAAGTATAAAAATATTTTCTTTTGGGTTGAAATAGACTTATATTTGTACAACATGTTCACAGCTGTAGTATTCAAAACAACCAAGAGGAGGAAGWAACCCAAATATCTACCAACAGATGAACGGATAAAACATGGTGTGTACACACAAATATTATTCAGCCTTAGAAAGAATGTATCATATGCTACAAAATGGGTGAGTTTTCAGGACATTATGGTAAGTGAAATAAGCCAGTCACTCAAAGACAAATACTGTATGATTCACTTAGATAACATATCTAAAGTAGTACAATTCAGAAAGTAGGACACTGGTTACTAGGGACTGGGAAGAAGGTGAAAAAGAGCAATTTATGGTCATGGAGCTTCAGATTTGCCATATGAAAATATTTTGAAGATGTTTCACAACAATGTGAATATACTAATATCATTAAACTGGATATTTTAAAATGGTTAATACAGTAAATCTTACATAACATGTGTTTTACCATAATTATTTTTTTCTTTTGGTATGGGGGACTGAACCCAGGGGAGGTCAACCATTAAGCAACATCCCCATTCTATTTTTAAAAGTTTGAGACAGGGTCTCACTAAGTTGCTGAAGCTGGCTTGAACTTGTGATCTGCCTGCCTCAGCCTCTTAAACCACTGGGATTCCAGGCATGTACCAGAAAGCTAGGCCACAATTTTTTTAAAAAGCCAGTATTATCCAGATTTTTCAGAGGAATCTGGCTATATCATATGTGGCAACCTATCATTCATTCACTTCTATTTTCATCTGAAGTTTGTACACAGGATCAACAAACTCATTACTCTAAAATACTACCTATGTCCTTTTAAATTTAGGGTCATGTTGGGAGAAAACAGATGAGCTACAAATAACATTGGGTATCAAGCAAGTAGTCTGAAGTAAATATCTGCATATATTTATTTCTTTTAAAATGTGTTAACTTTGACTCAACACTATTCACTATCTGTAGTTTCCTGTAATGATTTCACTTTCAAAATAATATATTGTCTCTCAATTATTTTTTTCATTAGCACTTTTTGAGTACCTGTTATTTGTCAGACAGTGTTATATAGGTTCTTGGGGTATAACAGTGAACAAACAACAAAAATCTTAGCTGTTACAGTTACAAACTAGAGATAAAAAATAAATATTAAAATAATCTGGCTGGGTACAGGTGCATACCTGTAATCCCAGTAACTTGAAAGGCTGAGGCAGGAGGATCACAAGTTCAAAGCCAGCCTTAATAACCTTGTGGGGCCCTCAAAAACCTAGTGAGACCCTGTTTCAAAATAAAAAAAAAAGGCTGGGAATGTAGCTCAGTTTTAAAGCACCCCTAGGTTCAATCCTTGCTACCCAACGTCCGCCCCCCACCCAGGGCTTTTTTTTTTTTTGAGACAGGGTCTTCGTATGTTGTCCATGCTGGCCTCAAAGGATCCTCCTGTCTCAACCTCTTAAATATTTGGGAATATTAGCATATGCCATTGCATCCAAATCAGTTCTTTTTTTTAGGTCTAAAAAAATTTCGGGATACACAGATTGTAATTTTAGCTAAAGTAGCCAGGGAAAGTGGTTAGATTCAACATGCCAAGGATACTGACTAGGGTATCTGGTGAAAGTAAATTCCAGGCAAAAGGAAATAGCAAGTGCCACATCCCTAAGGCAGCTGCATAAAATGCATTAGAGGAGACGATTGTGGCAAATTAAGACAGCAAATAGATGAAGTTAGAAAGGCAGAAGGGTTGAAAGGAAGTCAGATTATGCGTGAACCGCTAGATCACAGTATGCACATTGCGTATCATACACAGGATTCCTTGGGGAATTTGAGAAAAAGAGTGACAAAACGTGATATATTTAAATAGGACCCCTCTGGCCGCTTTGGTTGAAAACAGACTCAAAATAAGCATGGTAACCACACTATTGCCATAAGAATATATAGTGGTTTGGTCCAGCGCAGTGGCAAAGAATTATAAAAATGTGGGATATTCAATAGGTAGGGTTAAACAGAATATGCTGACAATTTTGGGATATGACAGAAGAGGATGACAAGGTTTTTAGTACAACATAGCAAGAAGAAGGGAGTTGTCATTCACTGAGATAAGAGTGCAAGGTTTGGATATGCTACATTTAAGATGCTTAAATTCAGTAAGCACTGAAAAGAATTTCCTGCATTGTAACTGTATTACAATTATTTGCCTAATCTGCCTCCCATGAAAGCAGCCACTTTTACATTCAGTGCTCATTGTTTGGTGCTCAATGTTTGCTGAATGAGTTATCTGCAAATAGGTTTTTAAAAATACTGTCTTTAATATTCTCAGTATTTCCTTTTCTCATGTCAGACTTAAAATGATATATTTTGAATGACTTAATCTTTTAAAATACAACAAATTTATGCATCACTAGTGTTTTATTGTCCTCAGATGACTGGATGGTGCTAATAGCATAGTTCATCTAATGAAATCTCTATTAGGTTTATTATCTGGGATTGGAGGTGTAGTTCAGTGGTAGAGCTAGTGTTTGGCAGGCATGAGGACCTCGGTTCAATCCCCYGTGTGCACACATACACAAGTGAAAAATACAATAAATTCAATTTAGGTTTGCATGACTTTCTCTTTTAGAGTATTGGGGATTGGACTAAATTGCTTAGGGCCTCACTAAGTTGCTGGGACTGGTTTTGAACTCATGCTCCTTTTGCCTCAGCCTCCTGACTAACTGGGATTACAGGTGCGAGCTACCATGCCAGGTATGAATGCATGACTTTCACAGATAAGCAAGTCTCCTACAGTATTCAACTTTTTGCACCCAAAGCCTTTCTAAGGAAGAACAACTACAGATCTCAAAGGTTTATTGATGAGTACCTCAGGCATGGAATTTTCAAATTCTAAAATGTAACAAAATTCCAGGGTAACATAGTATTTACAATTCATGACTATTTTCCCGAGTTTCCATGTCACTGGAGTCAAGATTCTATTATCACACTTAGCTATAGTGTTATCTGTAGCGTTGGTCAAGACTATTATCAGCTACAGTGTCATTTATTGTTTGTCTATCTCCCTTTGACCAGACTGAGCAATTCTAGGGAAGTGGCAATCCATCCACAATGACTAACTCAAAAAGTTAATGAGGGACTGGGGAAGTAGCTCAGCTGGTAGAGTGCTTGCCTGACATGTGTGAAGCCCTGGATTCAATCCCCTACATCCCAAGAAAAAAAGTTACTTATCGCATTAAAATGCATTCTTCGTGGCTCACTTGATGAATAAAAAGTTCCAAAATTACCTAGATATATGGTGCTATAACAAAAAGGACTAGATACAATACTATACAAGGTGCTTGATGTAAAATCCCTGACTTGTGAACCATCATCCTGTGTTTTCAGTTCCTTCTTGGACTTGAGAAGATTCAAGATCATTCATATATCATGCTTATTCTATGGAAGTAAACTGAAGGATAATATATTAATTCTGTAAAGATCTTGGTATGTATAATGTATCTAGTTCTACCTCGATCAACTGGGTTTTACAAAGCTTCAAGAAAACCAAAGGTCACAAGCAAAGGATGGTTCCAGGTCAATCATAAGACTGGTTTCTATGATTAAGATTGATCAATTGTACAATCTATCTTTTCACCTCTTCCCACCAGCTTTCTGCATAAAGCTTTACTATTAGAACTTAAGAGTAATTCTGTGCACTGGATGGTGATTTGGTTTTTATAGGAAAGAGGAAAGTTGGTAATATTACATTGCATTTTCAACGAGTCCAAATATAACATCATAAATACCAAAACATAGTTTTGATATCCAGTATCATATCATATCTGGTTCCCATACTGGTCCCCCAAACTGAAATATGATCCAATGGCAGATCTGTCCGCAAAATAGATGATTCAGTTTTCACTTTTAAACTTTATGTTCATCAGATTAATGTTTCGTGATAGAGGACAACCGACAAAGAACAAGGTTCCCCTTGTTCCTGGGCTCCTTCATCTTGTCATTACAAACAAAATTTTCAGACATGACAAACAAAAATTACAAACCCCTGCACCATTTCCAAATATCTTTGGAAATCTGAGAGAAACTGCTCAAAAGATTTGTTACCAAACATGTTTCTTGTATATTCCGGAGCCAGCTCTGGAATCAACTCTTTTAAAACAGGATTTTTGGTTGACCTAACAGAAACAAGAATGACTTGATGTGAAAGACTTTGTCACCTAAGCGAGTGTGATGATAACTGACAAAACTTCTGAGTCCGAGTAACTTTGAAGACAGTCCCTCCGGGGGATGGCATACACTTTTCTCTCTGCAGTCATTTAAGCTTCCCAGAATACCTCAATGGTAGAGAGAACTGGGGGCCCACCCTTTCCAGGAGCAGCCGACAAAGAAGAAATCCGCGGAGGTACCCGCAGGAGAAGGATCCGCAGAGCCAGGGATCGCCTGAGACCAACTTAGATACCTCTGGGGCGCCTCAGGTTGAYCCAAGAACAAGCCCTGGAGGGGACACCGTGGGAGAAGTGTCTAACCTGAGAGGCCGCGGGCGCTTGCTAAAGCAGGAACCAGCTTGGGAGTAGAGAGTAGCCAAAGCATAACTGCCAGCTCACACGTCAGGAAAAGAAAGGCAATCARCCCGCGAAGGAGCTACCAGCACAGCCGCGTCGCCAGGAAACCGGACCAACCGCCCCTCCCCTTCCGGCTGGCGCCGCTCGCGGGCTTTCCTCTCCCGGCGGCGCAGAATGCTGACATCAACGCCCGCACCTGGCGTTCCGGCCGCGGGGCCCTTTTTCATTAGGGCTTCACGTACCACTTAACGCCCACCTTCCCAGAGTGTCTGATTCCAGTGGTTCACTGGAAGGGCTGTTTCCAGCTCGCTTCAAAGTGCCCAGGAAGAGGGCTGGACCCGTCCTGGGGAACTCCAATCAGAGAGAAGAAAACATTTGAGAATGTTGGCGAGAGAGGCAGGCAATAACGCGAACAGCCACACTTCTAGAAGATTCTAGGCAGCGCGCAGGAGCACGGGTAGAGGGAGACCGACTGAGCGAGCCAAGGACCCAGGGTCACGAGGCCGTTAGGGGGAGGAGCCAGCGGCCGGGGAGGTTCTAGTCTGTTCGGCCTCGCGGCATCCGCCCCCTTCTGCGCGGTCACGCTGAGCCAGCGCCCGGGCCTGGGAACGGGCCGCAGCCGCCTCCGCCTGCCTCTTCTCGACCATGGATCCCCGCAAAGTGAGCGAGCTTCGGGCCTTCGTGAAAATGTGTAAGCAGGATCCGAGCGTCCTGCACACCGAGGAGATGCGCTTCCTGAGAGAGTGGGTGGAGAGGTGAGACCCGCGCCCAGGGACCGTTGGGGGCGGCCTGGGCCGGAGCTGGCGCGGGGCGCGGGCTCGGGGCCCCTAGGTGGCTTCGCTCCCTGGCCGGGAAGGTAGGCCACCTGGAGTGGTTAATGGAGGGTCCGGAGCCTTGGGTAGTGCAGGAGCCGGGGAGTCAGGGGCAGAGCCGAGGTCGCCGCTGCCTAAAGCCCCACGGTGTGTGTTGGACAAGGCGGACGCAGCCGATTGCAAGGACAGGGGCCCCGGAGACCTGAAGAGCAAGGGAGAGGGATGAGAATGAAGGCGTGCGGGGTGGGTTTTCCCCCCCTCTGGCGTCCTGCTTAGGTCGCATTGACACATAAGAGCTCCTTTATTCGCTATCCTGTAAGATAGTAACTTTTATAAGAGTCACTATATTGGATTTTCCTCACTTTTATCGTACAGCTATTCTAACTGCGTAGAACCGGTTATCTTGGAAATCACTTAAAATATCTCCGTTCATAGTGTTACTATCACTGCAGACACTTGGAAGAAAGTGATTTTTCAAGAACTAGTTCGTTTCCAGCATGTGGTCTTGGTTCTCTTGAACTGCACAGTATCTCCTCAGGCGCAAGGAATTAAGTAAACAGGCGCTTTTGCCAACTGCTGGGAAACTGTATGAGTAGTGCCTACTTAGGAATACAAACGGATAGATAACAAAAATTAGTTGTAAGTTTAACTTTATAATAGAGATTATCAGTCTGTATGTTGGAGTACTACTTGAAACCTTCCCCCGGGAGATGATTGGGGGTGGATCGCCACTAACGAGAGGCTTTGTGTTCAATCCTTCGGAAAAAAATACCACTAGTACTGGGGAATTTAAAAGCGATAAACAGCCTTGGAGTGGCAAGTGCCTGTAGTCCCAACTACTGAGGAGGCTGAGGCAGGAAGAGCACTTGAGCTCAGGAAGTGAAGGCCAGCCTGGCAGTGTAGCAAGACCACTTCTTTAAAAAGAAGGGAGAGAGATGAAACGCAGATTGCATTTCACTAGAATGAATAACTGAAAAGCACTGTGACTCCTCTAAGATCTAACTACCACAATATCATAAATGGTAATTTGTTCTAGTAATAATTTTATAAGGGAAAGTGAACTTATGATTATTAAACGCTTGGATGAGCATTTCTTTGAGCAAGCTTGTTCTAAGGGAGAAACTGTACGTTAAAAATCTATGATGGTTTAATTTTTTTCCTTTAAGAAGTTTTTCAGTCTTTTTTTGCCCCACCAGTTTTTGAGCACTGAAATTTTTACTCAGAACATTTAAAATTATTATAGTAACTTTGAAAAAAACACTATTGTTAACAGTCAACAAGAATCCTATTTTCCTAACTCCTCCTCAAAAACAAAACCAACTCAGATAAATGTGGAGAGTAGGAATTGAGGACTAAATTTTAATCGTTTTCTCTGTTGAATAACTGGTTCCAAAAACCTCACCTAAGATATTTCTGTACTTTTATTCTCTGATACTTAGTTGTTATAGGAAAGATCCTATAATTAATAAGTTATTCCTAAAATGCCAGGTAAAACAGATAAATCACAGGAAAAAAATAGCTGGCACCAAGAGTGAACATTTTAGTGAGTGAACACAACTTTTTTTTATTTCTCACTAGAGAGGAGGAGGAGGGCACTGAAGAAAAGTTAAAACAGCCTAAGACCAATGTTGTATCTTGTGCTGGAGAAATTAGATTATTGCTATATTAGAGAGTCCTAATTTAAGAACTGCAAAATATTTGCTCAATTTTACTGTTCCCCAAAATAATCATGCATTTTACTTACTTTAATATTTCTTATAGGTAATTCCAGTTTTTATTTTTTGATTCCATGTATATTTTTCTTGTGAAAGTCTAAATTGTGCATGTGAGTATGGGGTGAAGTATCCCCATGTGTGGAGGTCTTATTTTGAACTTAATCAGATTGGAATTTTAACAGAAGTTTTTGCTATATTAAACTTTCATTTTTATGGGCTTTGAAAACTTCAATTGTGCTGGTATCATTTTTTTCTTTGCACTTATATTAATATTTTAGCAGAGTAGATTGAGGAGACTTCTAAATCCAGGAATATCAATTGTATGATTAGGATTCCTTGAGGTGAAACCATGTCAGAGTTCTTCTCTCACAGGTGCCTAGGCAGAGGAGCTCAGTCTTAAGAGATCTTGAAGAACATTTTATCTGCTATGATTGCTGTCAGTTTATGGCTTACAGTTTTATTACTTAGCTTATCAACCTTTTAAATTACACAAAGAGAGAATATATTAGAAATTTGCATTACACATATGAGAAAAATCTGAATAGTGATCAGTGGGGAATCCAGGAAGATTGTTCTTTTCAGCAAATATATTGAGATATTTTCATTTTACTCTTCGTTGAGGGAGAAGTGTTTTCTGACCTTGTTTCTCCCATTTAATAATTATTTTATATCTTGTGCTTTTATTAGTTTCTCTGATGGTAATTTAAGGGAGTGTCTTTGTATCCATCCCTACCCTGGCACAGAACATGGCACATGGCTCTTAGTAAATAAATATTTTAAAGAGTAGCAAACAGGGGCTGGGGTTGTGGCTCAGTTGTAGAGCACTCGCCTAGCAATTGTGAGGCCCTGGGTTCAATCCTCAGCACACATAAAAATAAATAAATAAAGGTATCATGTCCAACTATAACTAAAAAATAAAATATTTTTTTTTAAAAAAGAGATCCAAACAATGTACTTCTACCCTAAATGTAGAATTTAAAAWATATATATATAAAACACCAGTTTTTTTCTAGATCTGCATAAATGCCTATAGTATGAAGCAGATTAAAGGTTTTTTAAAAATATTTTTAGTTGTAAATAAACACAATATCTTTATTTGTTTAATTTTTTTTTTTTTTTTTAATGGTGCTGGGGATTGAACCCAGTGCTGGGCAAGTACTCTACCACTGAGCCACAACCCCAGCCCAGATTGAAAGTTTTAATTCAGAAATTAAGAGAATTATGAATGGTCTTGTGTGACCTTATGTGAAGGATGCCTTTGTACTAGCTCTACCTGATTGTGCAACATAAAATCCTATACTGGCAAAGTCCAAATGGCAATATTTTGTTGGAAACTAATTTGTTCTAAATCTTGGAAGCATTAATTGAACTCTTTGTAGCTGTAAATTCTGTTAAGAAATTAAAACTTGGAATGTGAGAAACAAATCTAGTTTATGAATAAATTCTCTTGTGCTTAATTTTTAAAATTTTTTTGAACAATTTCAGGCTGAAAGAAAAACAGCAAAAACAATACAAAGAACTATTTTTGCTGAATGATTTGAGAGTAAGCTTTCATGGTTACGCCCCTCAACACCACTGAATTTGTATTTCCAAGGACAGTTGAAAATAAAACCATCAATCTCGGGGAACTAAAATGGATACATTAATATTAACTAAATCTCAGAATTACAGTGTTAAACTTAGTTGTCATGTGTTTTATCTCCCTCATTGTGAAACAGTTTTTTGGTCTTGCCTTGATTTTATGACCATGAACATTGGTCTTGAAGTTTGAAATATTATGAGTCAGTTATTCTGTAGAATTTTTCTCAATGTGGATTTGTCTGATTTTTTTTTTTTTCCTAGAATTAGATTTTGCTTAATACATTTCTTGGCAGGAATATCACTTCCCAGAGTTACACTGTTGTGACTGTTTGAATGTCACCCTAAATCCATTCCTGACACTGCATTTTGAAACTTAGGAAAAACACAGCTTAAGAAGCCTGTGACTTCATTAAAATTTAACTGCAAAGAGCAGTTAAAGAGTTTGATTCCTGTGCTCTTTTGAAAAGTAGTTTTTCCTATAGAAAAGAATTTCGTGGGTTTTATATGCCTGCCTCTTATCACTGAATCATTTTACTTTGCTGAATTACAAATTAAGATGTCTTGGGGGCTGTGGATGTGGCCCAAGCGGTAGCGCACTCACCTGGCATGTCTCTCCCCTGTCTGTCTCTCCCCCCCCCCTTTAAAAAAAATGTTTTGGATCATATGATCACTTTATTTTTGTCATATATCCATTCCTTTATAAGGGAACTGAGAAATGTGACTAAATGGTTAAGCACCCCTGGGTACAATTCTCAGTATCAAAAAAAGCCAGAAAATTATTTGCTGTTTTGGAGATTAAACTCAGAGTTGCACACATACAAGGCAAGTGCTCTACTAGCAAGCTGTGTGTCCGCCTTACTCTTTGACCTTTTTTTATATATATTTTTTAGTTGTATATGGACACATTATCTTTATTATTTTTGTGTGGTGCTGAAGATCGAACCCAGTGCCTCTTACATGCCAGGCAAGTGCTCTATCACTGAGCCACAACCCGAGCCCACTCTTTGACTTTTTAAATTTTGAGGCAAGGTCTTGTTAAATTGTGCAGACTGGCCTTGAATGAGTGATCCTCCTGTCTCAGCCTTCCATGTAGCTGGGATTATGGGCATGTGCCATCACACCTGATTTGAAGGCTAAAATTAATTTTAAAGAGTGTACAACAGCCAAGTGTTGTACAAGATGTAGAACAGCTGGCATGCTTTCCCTTTTCTGTTTTTGTTTTTTGGTACTGAGGATTAAACCCAGGGGTGCTCTGCCACTGAGGTGTACGCTTAGCTTAGCCATTTTATTTGTTTGTTTGTTTATTTCTGTTTTGAGTAGGGTCTCACTAAATTGTACAGGCTGGCCTCAAATTTACAATCCTTCTGCCTCAGTGTCTTGAGTAGCTGGTATTACAGATGTGTGCCACTGTGTTCAGTATTATCAATTTTCACTTCACATCAGCAGTGTATAAGAATTCCACCTGTTTGAGGGCTTTATGAGATGGCATTAACATATAATTCCAGCATCTCAAGAAACTGAGATAGGAGGATCATAAATTCAAGGTTAGTCTTGGCAATTTAGCAAGAGCCCATCTCAAAATAAAAAAAAAAAAGGCAATGGGAATCTAGCTCAGTGGTATTGCACTCCCGGTTTAAATCCCTGTTACCAAAAATAAAATAGAAAACTGATATCCAATTAAATTGAACTTATACCTATCCTGTGTCCACAAATTCCATCCAACTGAAATTAATGTAAATGCAGAACTACAATCTAGTTAGAGTTAACATTTTAATAGGTGCCTTTCTGTTTTCCAAGATAATGAATTCTTGTTTTACATAGAAGCTAATAGCTTTTTTTTTTTTTAATTGAACATGGTTTGTTTTTGACCCTAAATCCAAATATTATTGTAGTCACTGGGCTGTTGACATGTAACCCGTGTGCTCTAGGTCTACACCAAATGGAGCATATAACATTCTTTGTTCTTTTTTCTTTGTTTTTGTTGTGCACATGTAATTCGTAGTGTTGCTTTGGATTCATTGAAGAAGGATTTGCAAGGCCTAGAGGAAGTCTTAATGGGTGAAGTTTAGAAGCAAAGAGGAGAAAAGGTGTAATGTGAGGAACATGTGAATGTATATAAGAATGATCCTTGTAGGACTCAGGTGAAACAAACATTTTGAATAATTATTACTACATAATTATCTCGTAAGCTGCCTGTTTGAATTGAAATAAGTTTTGAGTTCATATATACCTACTGAATTCTAAGCTAACAATTTGTATGAATGATTTTGTCATTGCATGTTGAGCTCTCTTTTTGGTTGGGGGTGGTTATTAAGGGACACTCAACCACTGAGCCATTCCCCTAGCCCTATTTTGTATTTTATTTAGAGACAGCGTCTCCCTGAGTTGCTTAGCACCTCACCATTGCTGAGGCTGACTTTGAACTCATGATCTTTCTGCCTCAGCCTCCTGAACCTAGGGATTATAGGCATGCACCAACTTGCCTGGCTTGACTGCTCTTTTAATTTTCCTCTGGGAGTAGGCACAGAGAAGCTGTATAGTTATCTTTATTTAGGTTTATGGAGACAGGGAAAGGGCTTTAGCAGTATACTAAAAATGAAATTTTTTTTTTTTTTAAAGAAACAAGGGGCCTGTCAGAGACGTGGCCGGAGACGGACAGTGGAATTTTTTTTTTTTTTTAAAGAGAGAGTGAGAAAGGAGAGAGAGAGAGAATTTTTAATATTTATTTCTTAGTTCTCGGCGGACACAACATCTTTGTTGGTATGTGGTGCTGAGGATCGAACCCGGGCCGCACGCATGCCAGGCGAGCACGCTACTGCTTGAGCCACATCCCCAGCCCC